GGACCCCCTTGAAAACGAGGTGATTCACCTCAAGGGGTTTATCCTAATAAAGAAATTTGAATATATATACACACACACACACACACACACACACACACACACACACACACACACACACACACACACACACACACACACACACACACACACACACACACACACACACACACACACGTAATGTGGGGTGGAGCAGGGGGGTTCTGGGAAAATAACAGAAATAAAAAGACTGATAGAAACTGACCGCTTCCTACTTTGACTTCGTTGGAAAACAAGTTCTCCAATGTTCAGTGAGGTAAGTGAAGTAAGCCCCCCCCCCCCACACACAAACACACGCATACAAACACATCTTTGAGATTCAGGCAATGATGTGGAGAATGAGTCTGAAGGGCAGATTCAGACTAAACGAACGATGGTGATGTGTAGGAAGGGAACAGGAGATATCAGCTACAAGAAGCAAGCCTGTATAAAGCAGAGCAGGACAGAGGTCGTGTGAGGACAGCAGAAACCAGGGATGCAGCACAGATGTCTTATTATGTTCTCTTCCATATGTGGGGAGAGCATTAGGTGTCCACTCACATGATGGCATGGGATAACAGGGAGAGACAAAGAAAACAAAAAGGACCTCTCTTCTCATAAACTCCTGTTCGTTCACACGCTCAGGCCTTGTCAGCCCCTCAGAGGACCAGAGGTGAGGGGGGAAAACAAAAAAAATGCTGCAACAACACCTGAGCCTAGAGGGCAGAAGGCATTAACTACCTGCACGGACGGCTAAAGATTTAACCAAACAGGCTGTGCCCAAGACAGAGAAACCAAACCCAAGCCAGTTGAGCTCGTTAGGCCGGTCTGTCAGAGGGGCGAGTCAGCAACACAACTACCTCTGTAATTGTACACACACACACACACACACACACACACACACACACACACACACACACACACACACACACACACACACACCTTAACCTAACATTACAGCCTGAGCACATCCTATTGTAAAACAGCAGAGTGACAGGATTAAAATAAAAACACTGGGCGTGCCATGAGGATGATGATGATGATGATGATGATGATGATGATGATTAACAGACCACTGAAGGGAGGTCCTTTAGGTGCAAGGGCTACAAACCAACACATCTCCTGCGTGCCCATGGGCAGTGGAAAGGCAGGTGATGTGCGTGCAGAGCAGGTTAGGTTTTGGATGTCAGCCGGGACTCGGCTATAATTAGCAGCAGTCTCCAGAAATGTACCCGCCGACCCTGCTCTGCCTCTGCCTCTCACCTGGCCGACACACACAGCCTATTAAACAGCAGCTGCAGCACCTGCTTATAAACCACAACAAGCACACAGCCTCCGTTTCATATGTGCAAAACCAAGTGCTCAAACTGTCTTGTAAAAAGGGGAATACATTAATGTCGACGGGAGTTACCGAATACCCGTGACGTGGATAGTCCTCCCGTGACCCCGATGAGAACCGGGAAGGAGAGAGGCTATGGGGTTGCCGGTGCTGTCATGGCAAACAGTCACTTGCATGAGGCTACATTTATCTTAAAATGAGTGTTATACATATTTAAAATCGACAACAGTCAGGTGAAGCAGTTTACCTGAGTGCCGGTGTGTCACCTGTTCAGACTTGTCGCCTCCCACCTGACCGGCCTCCACACTTCCTGGATTATCCCGTCCCACCCTGCCGACTTCTTCTACTTATTCTTTTTTATCCTCCCGGCTCTTTTCTTTTCTACCGGGGGGAACCGCTCTTGTCGTCCTCAGCTCGACACCTGGGAGGTTTTTAATATTTCGTGGGTCAGCGTTTGTCGTGTTGCGGGTCTTCCCTGCAGACCTCCGGCTCTCCGCGGTGCTTCCCCCCCTGTGTGTGTGCTGCCTCCGCTGGTCCACTCCAACTCCAGGCTCCTTCTTTCTGAGAACCAGGAAGCGGCTTGCCCTACTTACACCCAGTCGCGGATTGGCTCTGGCAGGGCTGGAGAAGAGACCGCTGGGGTGGGCAGGGCACAGGGGAGGGAGGGAGGGGGAGGGAGGGAGAGCACGGAGGGGCTCCGGCTCTGACGCGATAGGCCAGGAGCGGTGTCTGTCGCGGAGCCGGTGGCGGAGGAGGAGAGAGGTGGGCCGGTTTGGAGACCCCGCTCCTCCTATCTCTGCTTCGGGCATCATCACCGCCATAGGTGGGTAGATAAGGGCGTGCAGGGAAAACGCATTCAAGTATATCTGCTAATAGCTAAGCCTGCATGTCAAATGCCATCGCTTTTTCAAGCATTTTAGACTAAGTGCCCCCTTTCCTCCTATTCATGACTCAGCAATCAGGAGACACCCTGGATGAGGCGACCACGAATGGAGAGTTGGAAGTGCATTAATAACTCAAAATGGGAGCCCGAGCTGAGGCTGAAAGAAGATTTAAGTCAAACGGAACTTATTATGATAAATGAAACTATTATAAAGGATGTGTCACATCCAGTTTGAGGAGCAGCAAAGGTCGAGGGACTTTTTTAATGGCTTGTCGTGAATCAGAACAAAACAAAAAAAAGTCTATATAGCCTACTGTAGCCTATGTTTGCTCATGCTGAAAATAAAAACTCAGCATGGTTTTATAATACATTTTCTTCCAGAGAGACTCACTTAACCCTCACTTCACTGCAAAAAAGTCAACTTTGAACACTTACTGTTTGAAGTGGTTATGGGTATGGGAATCACCGCGCTTTTTCAAAGTTTGAATCTCATCCTCGTCTACTGTAGCTCCTCCATGAGTGAGTGAGTGAGTGTGTGTTGGTGGGTTTTGAAGTGAGGGTGCAGGAAGTCTATATATAATTTTGCGGTGAGCTCAGCCCCCCATTACCACCCCCTTAACCTTAAATCTGTGCTTGTTCTGTGGTTTTGCTACCAGACAGAGACGTTTAAACTATTATGTGCACCACATGTTCCATACATGCTACTGATTTCCATGTTGGCTTTATATAAAGCAATGGTTCCCAAACCTGGAGTTGAGACCAAAGGGGTCACGAGATCATTAACATAAAAAATGAAATGAAATTCTGGTTACTCTCATCTCTCCAGGCCTCTAAAAACTATTATATTGAAGAAATCAAAAACTCTTTTAACTGGTAACAAAACAATTCCAACCCATTACAGGGGTCATGATGATAGACACTGCTTTGAAAGTTGGGTAAAGCATAACAACTTTTTATTTGGCACAACCTATTTCCATCATACAATCAACTTATATAGGCTTACATTTTCTTTTCTCTAAAAAAAATTAAATGGGACTTTAATTTTCAAAGATTTCACTTCATGGATTAACGTTGTACATTTATTTGTATTTATTTAATTGACTCTTGAAACTGATCAAAATGGGGTTTGATTGTGTTATCCCTTTTCTTCCTAAACCATTTTAATTTATATCCTGCATAATGTTCTAACTTTTTTGTAAAATACAGTCTTTTTGATATTTATATGAGTAAATACTGATTTACACTAACTTGCAGAAAGACCCTTTATTCTGTCCCTGCAAGGAATTTAGAAACATGTAAATCCAGTGATTCAACTTCCAGGATATGTACACACAGACAGCTGCTATGCAAAAGTATAATTAAGGGAATAAAATACCCATAACTGTGAATTTCTAGGCCCAGAAACTCTCTGCCAGTTTAGTTTGTCTCCCCCACGGCCAAGAGTAAAGACTTCCCTCTGTGTCTATTTCAGATCCAGAGTGACGGGCAGCAATTACAGTCCTGTTTATCCCCCCACCTCTATTCACGGCTGGTAATCCAGGCTGGTCTGCCATCATTTACCCTCTCACCTTGCTCCATATTGCGCTCTCCTCCTAACAATAAGTGTCCTCATCATACAAATGTCTCTCTCCTGTTCGCTCATGTTACTGTAAATAAACTTAAGAAATATAAAGTGCAAGATGCTGCTGCTTCCTGTTGAGTTGATCTGATTATCAATGTGCCATCGCCATCTAGTGGTTGCGTTGAATTCAGCAGCCCTAAATCCCTAACCAGTGTATGCTTAAGTGAAGCCTCCAGTACAAAAGTATACACATTTTACACTGTGGGAATGCAGATTTATTTTTAGAAATACAGCTTACAGTCTCTCTCCTGCCCTTTAATTTAAAAAAAATGTCAGCAATTTCTTTACCAGCATAGAAAAAACCCTCAAATATTTACAGCTAGAGGCACTCATCCTCTTCTGACAAATTAGTGCTGCTTTGTGAGACTCAGAAGAGGCTTTTGAAGAGTGTTCAAATAATTACAAGTGTAAATCCAACATGCTAATGCCTCTTAACTAATAGAGGTGAACAATTATTCTCGCCTGCTCGCTGCCTACACGGGCTGATGAAGGGCTTTAGAAATACCCTTGTTCATTAGTGAAGGAGGAGAAGTAAAATAAATTTGAGTGAGAGAGAGGAAGTTATAGGAGGGGAAAGAGAGGCAGGTGTATCAGTGAGACCTAGTCTGCACTAAAGTAGAAGGATATGTTTCCCCACATTCACAAGCTAATCCTGCCCTCTGCTGAGGGGTACAGGACATTCGTGACGGGTTATTTATCTCACAGCAGCATTAAGTTAATTCAACAAACCTCTCAAGTATCAAATATTCCAAGGTCACGGAAAAGTCCATCCAGAGTCACAAGGGTCCAAGTTGAGTCTCAAGAGGTTTTCAGTATCCTTGTAATCTATATGAAGTAGGATGAAATATGCAAAACAATGTATGAGTTCACTCAAATTTCACAAACAACAAATCCTAACTCACAGTGGCTGAAGTCAACAAACTTCCAGTTTAATTTAAGTCAATATAAATATAAATATTTGCTCTGTTGTTTAAAGTTCCCTGCCTACATCCTGTCTGTGGTTAATGTAAAAGCAAATTGACTTGACAGGATACAAATGCATGCAAGAACACAAAAGAGCTCAACACACACAACACAGTGATATCTAAATTCGCTTTATTCTTACATCCAAATATACACCTTCATCATTACTGTTATGGTTGTCAAGAATGTAATCCTAATCATCACCTTAAACACCACGCTCTCAAAATCATCTTTAAATCAGCATTAATAGCTATTTATTTTCAGTTTTAAAGCTAAAGCTGTAATAAATAAAAAATAAAACATTTGGTCCTTTAATATATTGTCTAGGCAACATGGTATCAGGGGTTAAGACAGAAATGTCTTGTTGCTACTCACACAAAACATCAAACATCACTGAAAATGTTGCTGAAAAAGTGTTGTAGGACGACAGAAGAAAGAGCCATTTGAACGTGAGGCTGATTGCCACACAGAGCAAGTGTTGGGTAAACCGAGAGAAAGGGAGAGAATCTGTGAGAGCCAGCGAAGCATTTAGCGACCACGGCTGTGAAAATCAGATGAAAGGCGGCGAGACAGAGAAGAGATGAAAGACAGAGAGGCTGAAGAGTGATGAAGCTTACAACAGACCCAAAGAGAGGCACGTATTTACAGTTCATGGAGCAGGATGGAATAGAAATAAAGTGAGCCACGGTGCAGAGCAAGATTGTCTGCCACAAACAAATAAACACATTATAGAAAAATCATGTAGGTTTAAAAGTTTTGTTTTGATCAAAAACTAAACACCACACACTTGTGACAACAAAACTACCAGTGGACTGCTCCTATTGAATCCAATTCATATGAGCATCGTCTTAACAGTGATTTTTAATCTCTATTTTCTTATCATTATTATTATTTGGATGATAAAATATTACACTTTGGTGCAGAATGGGAGGCAAGAGGGAGTTGGAGCTGGAAACCAGAAAGTGTCCGCTCTGCTGCCTGCATTTAAAACCGTCACCAAGATGGACTTTAATACCAATAGCAGAGAAATTATTATTTTCTCAAATTCATTTCCTGTCACATTAAGGGAGCCTACAATGTTTCACACATATTGCTTTTTCCATTGTCAAATAAATGGAGATTTTTTTATTTCAGCTATTGCTTCCATATCATTTTCACTTCAGCTCCCCTGCTTGCTCCAACAATCACTAACACAGATATGTATGTATTGTACATTGGGATGGATTTGATCAGACTCTACCGTTGCCTGGGCCAACCTTTTAAATCACCAATAAAGTCTTCTCTCTTCCATCGATGGCTTGGGTCGAGAGTCACGAACCCCTGATGCTCTAAGACAATCACATAGAGTATATGCAAAATATAGACCTGTCCACTTGACATATTTGATGTCTGGTGACACCACTCTGTATATCAATGGCTCTGCTTATCAACAGCGGGCCTTTTGTGTCTTAGGTCCTCTTAGTCTTTTCAGGCAATGAATGCGGAGGGTCTTTTTTCCCACCTTTAGGAGCAGTGGCCTTTGCAAGGGGGGCTGCATGTGCTGACTGGGTGGACGAGGTGGTGGAAGCCTGAGCGGCAGGAATAGAGAGGGTATTGAGTTTTGTGGAGTGGGTAGGGGCAGCTGTTGGGGTTGATATTTGTTTTAGGACGGGAGAAGAGGCACAATGGATACCAGAGGAGGTCAGAGATGAAGGCTTAGTGGAGCTCGAGCTTGGACACGATGAGGATGATGTTGTCCCCGGGATTGGTTTGGTTGAATGACCAGAGACATAAGTTGGGCTTGGAGTAAGGACAGGAGAGGTTTGCTGCACAGGATGAACTGAGAAAGTTATTTTACGTGGAGAGCTAACACTAGCTGGTGTCGGGGCAGACAATGCAGTTTGTGTTGGGGTCTGTTTGGGGATCTGGCCCTGGTTGGGGCCTCTAGCTGAGCTGGAGATTGAGGGCTGGAGACAAGGAGTTGGACTCAGGGATTTACTTACAGAGGGGGCAGGTGTCACAGGAACCGGAGAATGGGAAGGAGTAGGACTAAGGGTCTGTGTAGGTGTTTGGGCAGGGGTAGAAGTGCGTGTACGGGTAGTCTGAGTGGGTGTTAGTATCGGGGAAGGGATTGGAGTTTGTGCGGGACTTGGGCCAGACAATGGAGAAGGAGAAGGAGGCGTGTTGGACGCCTTGGCTCGGGGGCTCTGGGGACGAGGTGGGATAGAGGTGATCAAGGAGGATGGGGGAGAGGAGTAGGTGAAAGATGACTTTGGCCCATAGGTTTGAGGTGGTGGGATAGGGGTAGAAACAAAAGATGGGGGCGGTGTGGAGGAGGGAGAGGGAGAGGACGAGCGGGGAGAAGATGTAGGAATTGGTTTGGGACGAGGAGTTGAGGAGAGCGACAGCGGGTTTGCTAAAGGAGGGGTGGAGCTGCGAGGAGGAGAGAAGGAGCCAGAGCGTGTCATTGAGATTGGTTTAGGGCGCGGTGTAGGAGGGAGTATAGGTGTAGGAGAAGAGGGGGTGGGAGAAGAGAGAGGGGTCTGCTTTGGAGGGGAGAAAGATGACTTTGGCCCATAGGTTTGAGGTGGTGGGATAGGGGTAAAAACAGAAGATGGGGGAGGTGTGGAGGAGGGAGAGGGAGAGGACGAGCGGGGAGAAGATGTAGGAATTGGTTTGGGACGAGGAGTTGAGGAGAGCGACAGCGGGTTTGCTAAAGGAGGGGTGCAGCTGCGAGGAGGAGAGGAGGAGTGTGTCATTGAGATTGGTTTAGGGTGCGGTGTAGGCGGGAGTATAGGTGTAGGAGAAGAGGGGGTGGGAGAAGAGAGAGGGGTCTGCTTTGGAGGGGAGGAATATGTTAGGGGAGCTGCAGGCTTGTGTGCGGCTGCAGGTACAGAGGTGCTGTGAGGGGCAGCCTGTGTGGGCAGATACTGTGCTAAGGCAGGCTGAATAGGAAATGCGGCCTGAGCGTGTGTGTGTGCGTTAAATGGAATATGTGTCACTAGCTGTATTGGAGTGTTTGAGGTCAGCATGCCTGCACTGCCTCCCCTGGCTAACTGCCCTGCCAGGAAAGGAGCCACCAGCAAATTACCACCAGAGGCCTTCCTGGGGAGAGGGGGATGAGGCTGCACTCCAACCCAGGAGCGGTGAGGCAGGGTGGGCTGCGAGGCAGACAGCAGCCTGGCCTCCTGGGTGAGTCTGCCCAGCGCCGGCAGACCCTGAGAGCTGGTTCCACCATGACGTAACAAAGCTTCCTTTGCCCCCTGGTGGCCCATCATAAAAGTGTTGCCGTCTGACGGGGCTCTATAAGCAGCAGGGGGGTTGGCGGCAGGTACTTTATGGAGAGGTGGAGTCAGTGTCCCTCCACCTGTCGGGGTTCCTAGTGATCCAGCAATCATTGAGGGATGATCAGCCTGGAGGCGGAGGCTGGTATGAAGAGTCCTGCCTGGTTGGACAGATGCTGGGACAGAGGATGCTGGTATGGGTGGAGTTTTGGCAATCGGGGGTGAGATCAACCCACCAGGAGGGCCCATGGTCGAGGGAGAGGCAGGAAATCCTCTGGGGGACAAACCACCCATTCCTCCCATCCCTCCCATCCCTCCCAGAGTCATCATGCCGATGAGAGAGCTCACAGACGGGCGGAGGGGCTGTAACACAGGAGGACGAGGGGTAGACAAAGAAAAGGTAGAGGACGGAGAGGGAGACACAAGAGGTGAAGGCAAGAAGAAAGCCCCTCCCAGTGCATGCTGCTGCTGCAGCTGCTGCAGCTGCTGTTGCTGTTGCTGGTGGTGCATGAGGGCGATGGCTACATTACTGGTGGCAGCAGCCGCCTGCAGGGGGGCGTTGACCAGCGGAGCCCAGATGACCGGGCGCGGCCGAGGAGACACCGAGCCACTTCTTCCCATGACTCCGCTTCTTCCTGCAGCAGCGGCCGCAATGGCATCCTGCATCGCCGGCATGCTGTCGTGTTTGACAATCTGCTGCACCAGCATGCTGTCACAGGAGCCCATACCTCCCCTGGCTCCTGGACCCCCTCCACCCCGGCCTCCACGACCCATACTGCCCCCCAGAGAACCGCCCTGCGACGACTTCCGGAGAAGCATTGAGTTCTTCCTGCCTGTAGGGAAAGAAATTCATTATTAATTTTGAGATATTGTAAATAAACTGTGTAGGAGGCATTTGGAAGCATCTAGCATTGTGGGTGCAGATTGGAACCAACTTAAATTTCAGATTAACAAGCCTCCTCATCTTCATCTTGCACAGAAGCCAACCTTTCCACAACAGTGCAATGGATTTTAGATAGCGCTGGTATTACTGCAGATTTACAAGTGTGTTGTAGAACTAGAGTGGACCCTCTTGTTTGTATGTTCTGAGCTACTGTATTAACTTGGCAATGCAACCTTGAAGAGGACCCTCTCCCTATGGAGATATGAAGGCCCTATTTTAAGATAATGAAAACACATTGATTCTCAGTTTCAGATGATGATTGTATGCGAAAGGAAGGATAGTTATGAATATTAAATTACATTTCAGCTAATATATCCTCCTAAACATTATACATATAAGTGCCAGAAGTGAAAGATGTGAAAAGAAAACTTTTACTTTGTAGAAGCTTTTTACTGAGCACAAAGTAAACGTTTGATGGCTAAGCTTCAAGGTCAATGAAGAACCTTGCTGATCCGTTTTTTTAAAGGTATTTCTATTTCAAAGATGAGTTCTGATCTTTCATCTGAGGACAAAGAGCCTAAGAAATGTTGCAGAATTTAAAAGATTATTTGAACTATTGTGCAAGGTCGTTACAGGGTTAAATAACCAAATATGAAATAGACAGCCACTGCATAGATAAGACGGTTAGAGAAATATATAACATAATCAGAAATCCACACTTTACCGATTCGGTCCAATCTGTCAACAGCGACAGTTTCAAAGGCACGACGCATCATGGGATGTTCCTCCAGCACCTCGTTAAAGTTGTCCACACTGAGCGAGTACAGGCGACAGTATGTATCTGCACGGACGCTGGCTGTCCTCCGTCCATGAGTCAACAAACAGATCTCTGAAAAAGATACAGTATTAGGCTGTGAGTTTATGCTTAAACATGAACTACCATCACCTTAACCTCTTTACCTTTCGGTGCAATTATCTAAACAGCTCTGCATGTTCTCACCTCCAAAGTAAGAGCCATCACTCAGCTTGGTTTCTTTGTTGCCACGGGTCAGCACACCAACTCGCCCATGCTGGATGAAATACATCTTCCGTCCCACTGTGCCCTCGCGGATAATGAAGTCTGAAGGCTGAAACACTTCAAAGCGGAGCTTGATCAGCACTGCTGTCACAAAGTTGGGATCGGCATTGGCAAACAGCGGCATGTTAGCCACCAGGCTCCGGCAGTTAAAGCTGACTATCTCCTGGAGGAAGAAGACATGAAGAGGGAGTTAGTCAAATAGATTGGCTGGATGACAGTCAGTACATATGTCTGTACGCTGTGCGTGTAGATTAGGGAGTGATGGTGAATTATTTACCTCTTTCAGTGGGTCGCTGAGTTCTCCAAGGATGTTCTCCTCGTCAAACATCTTCCCCTGGAAGCGGTGCTCATAGTATTCGTGGATCTTTTGACGCACATCTGCAGGAAGTTTATGGAAGGACATGTACTGCTCCACCTGCTTGTACTGCAATATCACACAAACACACACAGACACAGGTCAGGGATCTGCAAACAAGTTGTAAAAGAAGAGAGCATGACAACATTGATTATTCTATTGGTTCCCATCCTTTGAGTCTACTCAACATTTCTGCCTCTTTCTCCCTGTGACCCCTGTTTCAGCTTTGACAAGGGGTCACAGCTGAGGGATTGATTTCGGACAGAGCCAAGTTGTGAGGAGTTTGACCCGATTTTCCATTCTCAGATTTTTAATTAAAACAATTTGGAATAAAAAAGTGTGTCCAGCATTGCAGAAGAAAAAGAAAGATGACAAAAGGTGTTTTTGACTCAGTTCTATCATTAATCATTTTGAGAGCCCTCAGGTCCATCCTAGGACTGCTTTTTAACCCGAGTTTGGAAACCACAAGATTTGATTTTTGTCAAAAAAGTGTGTCCCGGGAGTTGATTCATAATAAAACCACCAAAGGTTAATTGATAATAAACATTAGGTTTAAGAACTCAGGGTAACATAGTTACACGATAACAAGTATAGTACAGAATGAGTTGTGTTTCACCTTTTCTTGGTACTGTCGCCGCGAAGAATCCAGAGATTGGATGAGAGCGGTGGCGTGTCCGATGAACATGGCGTAGCAGGTGGCCCCTACGATCATGCTGAGCATGGTGAGCCACACATCAGTCATCCCTTCTGGAGCCTGTGCTCCGTACCCAATACACAACATGTGGCTCATGGCTTTGAATAGAGCATAGGAGTACTGGAGGCCCCATGAGTCATTCTGTGAGTGGGAGGCACACAGAGAGGGTGACAGGAAGAGTTAAAAAGAAGTTGTTAATTACCAAGGCGGTGCAATATTGAACTATTCTTATTTTAGTCTTGTTACAAGAGCTTTTTCACTTCACCTCATAACATGCAACACAAGAGCAATTTAGCTGTCAAAACCCACTTTAATTTACTAAAACTGAAAGGCTGCAGAACGTATAAAACCACACAGGCGATAAAAAGGCTGTCTTCCTGCATTATTAACTAGGCCTAAATGTCTGAATATCATATATAACTACTTTTGAAGTTGTGTCCAATTATACTAAGATGTTAATGGATGAGGGGAGTTTCTCTGGGGAAAATCCCAGCATCAGGCTGCTTAGCAACAGTCACCAAGGCAGCCACTGAGACATGAGTCAGCTTTTCCTACAGCTGTGCATCTGTGTTCATTCATGGATGTTCACGTCTGCACGCCTGACTGCACAGGGATGAAATCTCCAGCAGGTCCCCCAGGTCTTGGACTGTTTGCGTGAGTTCCCCCCTCCACCTGCTCTCTGCTGGGGCTTTTAATTGGAAAATCTTTTATTTTATTTTGGTGACGACAATGATAGGCAATCTAATTCAAACTGGACTTGTTGCTGCATGACCCAATTAACACAGATAAGGAGCAAATATTTTCAAATCTGATAAACAACCTCACTCTGCACACATAAAGATAACATGAACCAGGTATATTGAATCTGTGTTTTGCATTTATCAGAATTAAAGATATTGTGCACACTGTTCAAACAAGCTGAGATATCGCTTTGTGCGTTTTATCAGATGTCATGGCATTGTTTGACTACACGATAACATAAATTCAGAAACACATCAGTCACGTTAAATGCGGACTGCTGTTTAGAGACTCACCACCATCAGATTCTTGGAAACCCAGCAGTCAGGAGGGAAGTCCTGCAGCATGGGCACGAGGAACTGCAGACAGCCATCCCAGTGGCACAGCAGCAGCATCATCCCGATCAGATTCACGATTCTCACCATGGCACTGGCAAGGTCATAGGTCATATGGAAGATCTGAGGGGAAAGAGGAGGAGGAGAAAAGTGATGCAGGTGCAGTTGACCTTTTCACAAGGAATTTATTCTATAAATAAGTCAAAATACATTTGAATGAGATCATTCCTTCAGCTCTTGGGCACATTATGAAAGCTTTAAATCTACCCGTAAAACAGGATATTTTGTAAATCTAAAGGCCTGTAAAAAGTAATGCCGTACATATTTAATGATTATAGACAGAAAAATAATCACTTAATCATTTCATAATCAATGCATCTTTAGAATACAAGAATGGAAGAAAATATTGTTTGCAGCATCTTAAATATGGGGATTTCCTGTTTTTCTCAGTTTTATATCCTATTTAAAGGAATACCTTTTGGTTTATGAGTGACAAAACAACACATGTAAAACATTACCCTCTGAGTTTAAGGAAATGGGATGGACATGCTGACATTTTATAGACATACTATAAAGTGCTGACATTTTGTAGAACACACAATTAATAGCGTAATTGAGAAAATAATCGGCTGATAATGAACATCATTGTAAGTTGTATCCCTATTTTGAATATTTCTTTGATTGTGATATCTGTTCCTCACCTCCTCCCACTGATGGATGTAGCGGATGAGTCGGGACAGGCGGAGCAGTCGAAGAAGGCTCAGGATTTTGGTGAAGCGGACGATGCGCAGCGCCCTGGCCGTCCTGTAGACCTCGGAGTCCAGACTGTCCACCATCAGAAAGATGTAGTCCACCGGGATGGAGGACACAAAGTCCACGAGGAACCAGTTCTTCAGATATTTCTGGCGAATCGCCCTAAATTAGATTAGGATGGAAAACAAATGATATTTGTAATTTGGCATACCAGCTTTGTGGAGACGATTTGAACATTTGGCTGGCATCATCAGTATTCAAGACACACAACTGGAACATGAACAAAGCCCCGCCACTGGCTGCATGTCACCTTTCACACGTCACTCATGGATTGTTTCAACACAAACCAGCAGATGGTCAGAAGAGCTGATTAAAAAAAGCTTCACATCTCAAATCAAAAGTGCTAAGTCTAAGTATTATCTGTCAGTTACCACAAAAAACCTGAATAATCCTAGAACATTTTGGAAAACCATTCAATCGATATCCACCGGTGAAATCCGTAATGAGCTACCTCCTTGCCTTACCAAGGCATCTGGCACTATATATCGGACTGGGCTACTATGTTAAATTGTTTTAATGAGCATTTTGTGTCCTGTGGCTCTCTGTTTGATTCTGTTTCTAACTCTGCTTCTGTGAACACCACAGTCTGTGACTGAACAATGTGGTTTGGAAAACCCCTTCAGTTTTTCTCCTTTTACTATTGATGTTGTTCATGGAGCCTTAACCAAGTTAGATCCTAAGAAACCGGCTGGTCCAGATAACGTAGAACCTTTATTTTTAAAGATAGCTGCAGATTTTATTGCACCAACTCTTACTTCTTTTTTTAACCTCTCCCTCAGCACAAAGACAATTCCAAAAGTATGGAAGTCCGCTTATGTCCTGCCTTTACTAAAAGGAGGGGAGGCCACTTTATTAAATAATTATAGACCCATCTCTAAATTATCAGTTCTGGCTAAGGTTCTTGAAAGCCTAGTGAGTGAACAGGTAAAGGAGTTTTTATGTAAAAATGACATCCTATGAAAACATCAGTCAGGTTTCAGAAAACAACTTAGCACCATCACTGCGACAATGTGGTGAATGTTCGCCCAGGACCTCAAATGGGAGCAGAACATCTGCTCCCTCATCAAAAAAGCACAGCAGAGGGTGTTCTTCCTGAGGCAGCTGAAGAAATTCAACCTGCCAAAGACGATGATGGGGAACTTCTACACCTCCATCATCGAGTCCATCCTCACCTCCTCCATCACCATCTGGTACGCTGCAGCCACAGCCAAGGATAAGGGCAGGCTGCAGCGGGTCATCCATTCTGCAGAGAAGGTGATCGGATGCAAATCTGCATCCCTCCACGGACTGCACGCCCCGGAACCCTGAGGCGGCGCAGGGAAGGTAAGTGGCGACCCCTCCCACCCTGGACACACACTGTTCACCCCCCTCCCCTCTGGCAGGACCACAACCTACTTGAAGTGGTTGCTGTTATAATACCTGGTATCTGGCTTGATGATTGACCTCTCTTCTTAAACTTCAGGTCGAGTAATCTGCTTAGAAAGCTGAGTTGAAGCTAGATTTCTTTTTCCAAGAAACAAGTCTGTTTCTCACTGAGGCCAGGAAAGGCTAGTCCTCTGTAACTTTTTACCTGGTGATTTGATATATACTGATGCACCTGCCCATTACCTGAACAGTTAGATGGCACGCCATCACAGTCGCCGAAGATGTGTTACTAACTGTAAAGGTACTTACTCATCACTGATACACCTGTATGCCAGGGCAGGTTTGCCTTTCACTTTACTGTACGGAAGGCTCAGTCATTGGTAACTGTTCATAAAGCCGCACCGCGAAAACTCCATCTTATATCTGCCCGATGATCACACAGAGAGTTCAGGTACGCTATTGCCTGAGATTACACTGAATGGTCTTGTTACATGGCCAAGTGCAAGGACTGACTAGGTAAGAGCTTTATGTGCGCAGCTCTCTTGCTTGGAACAGTCCTCAAAAATACTCTGAAACTGAGTAATTTGTTCCACTGCATGGTTTTTAAAGCTCGGATAGGTGGAAACTGCTCTTTGATACTGTTGGTACTTGTCAATGTCGTAAGCTGTAAATGTAGCATTGGTAAATTGCATGTACGATGTCTTTATTGTTTTTATTAGTTTTATGTTTCATGTGTACCTCCCAGCGCAGGGAACGTCTCGCGGCTAACGTTACCTAACTGACTTCTAATAAGGTTTTAAGAACGTTAATCGATGTTCAAAGGACTTTTTAGGATGTTTACTCTTTTCAAATAATGTTCCAATAAGTTAACGCAACTTCAGACGGATGTTTTTTGAGGATGTTATTGCGGCCTGAGATGACAGTACGTTTTTTTATAAAACGTTCCCTTTAGTGGATATGTTAACAAAGGGTGGAACATTTTGCCTGGCAACATCTAAGGATTGTTTTGGGACTTTTGGTACACAGTTAAACGTGTTCTATATAAACCACGTTTCCCTCAAGTTACATGATAACAAATGAACGAACATTTCAAAGCAACATTCTGGAATGTTTCAGGATGTTATTGAGGCCTGAGATGACAAAATGTTTTCAAATGTTCTTTATAGGAATTTACAAAGTGGACTTTTGCTGACATTTAAGGATGTGTCTTGGACGTTGTTGGGTAACACTTAAAAGATTCTTGTATAAGAGTCCCTCATTGTTACATGAGAACAAAGAAAGAACATTCTCCAAGAAGCATATCTGAAATGTTTTCAGGATGTTTATTCTTTTGTTATAACACCGTTCCTGTTTCATGGCAAATATTAACACGGTCAGTCAGATTTTATTTCTAGAGCGCTTTGAAAAACAATCTTGTTGCATTTGTTTGTGTTTACAAAAAAATATCTGATGTCACATATCTTTCTTTTGAAAAACAAAAATGCACGGAATTCATGAACAGCTGTCTAGCAGATATGCATGGTTTGCGATGCAATGTGTGAGTTCCAGCTAGAATGTTGGTTACCCATTCGTTGTTCTAGGAATGTTTCAGCGGGACGTTTTATTTGAGTTCTTAGATCTTCTTCTGAAAGGTAGGTAACGTTCTTAAACATTCCTTGAAATGTTTGGTGATAACCTTCTAAGTATGTTTGATAACCTTCTTAAGATGTTTTTGATAACATATGTTTAGAACATTCATGCCCTACTGTTCTTAAAATTGCACGCAGACGTTTAGTTTAGAGATTCCCAGAATTCCTTGTCTGAAAGCAGAGATAAACGTTCTTTAAAAACATTCCTGGAAATGTTTGGTGATAACGCATCTTAGAAGTTTTGCAGTACCACCTTCTTCAAGATGTTTTTTGATAACATTGTTAGAAACATTATACCCTTACTGTTCTTAAAACTTTTCAGCGGGACGTTTTATTTTTTGGTTCCTGAATGTTGTTCTGAAGGTAGGAGATACGTTCGCTAAAGACATTCTTAACATCTCTTTGGTGATAACTTCTTGAGATTTGGAGCGCATCTTGAGACAATGAATAGGACGTATAAACGAATTTATGCATGCCAATATGCGCTCACATGGCACTATAATCACACTAGAGGTATGTAGGCCACAGTATATAATATCATGATTTGGGTAAAATATCCGAAATAACACACTTTTTTCTGACTAAAGGTTGTGTTCGTATGATAGGTTTCTGACTGTTAGAATAAGCTATCGGCAGAGGGCTGCGCTATAAACAGGCCCCGCTGGTTTTAGCATATTGAGGAAAATCGTTATTGCACCCTTTAGATTTGAGACCGACAGACAGTATAAAGAACGACCGCCTAGTAACTGCCCGTCCCTGAAAACCCTGTATAGTGTTTGTATGGTTTAGTTTCTCTGGGTCTCTCTCTCTGGCCTGGCTGGTCTGCTCTACACGGCTTGGGAGCCAATCTCCATCACCACACCTGCAACCTGCTTAAGCGCACATATGAAGCTGCCGCTGCACGCATTCCTTGCCGGATTGTTGCTGTCGACACGGTTTCGTGTGCCGTGGAACGGTTTGTTGGTGCCGGTCTAAAGCCTTTTACCAGCATATTCTTTGACATCTTTGGGCCTGCTTTACCTCCCTCATTTGTGGTGTCTCTCCCCAGGAGGAATCCAAGGCCTTCACACTCCCAAAGACCAGCGCAGGCCCTCTCACGCCTGGACAGACTGGTTGCCCACTGCTGCCATACCACGCCCACTCCACAGCTCCCCTTTTTCTAATAAACAGAATCGTAGCTTCAGCGTCCGATCATCTTTTACATGGTTTATAGTCAAATTCCATAGTTACAGTAAACTATCAACTATCCTAATGCCCACAGTGGTCAGTCCCCACTTACCAGGAACTTGGAGTGAACAATTACAGGAATATTATGTCTTTATGTTCTAACAATGTAATACGTAATTTAGTTATGTAACCACAGAACATTTGCATAATGTTTAAACATAAAGCAATGTTATCTTTTCT